GCGAAGAGGAGCCAGGTGTGGCAGGCCTGGAAGTCATAGACAAAGAGGACCTGGAAGGGCTGGCAGAATTGGGAGTGCTTACCTGGAGCCTGTCCAACCTCTTAAGGAAAGTCACCTGGAAGTGTGTCCAGGCGGGGTGTGCTCATAGGGAGAAATCAGCTTAAAGGTAGACGATTACAGAGCAGCAGTGTCTGCTCTGAGCAAGATGATTGGATGACCAATGCCTTTATAGAACCAAATGACTGGATCAGGAGGTTACAGTTGAAGCATACTTATGATTTCTAAGTTACAGTTGGGTTATTTATATTTGTGGGTCTTGACAGTCTTAATACATATTAATATTCGTGCCACCAAAACATTATTCAAGCCAGGACTCCTGGCTCTGAAAGAGTGCGCAGTGTGTGCACAGGGGCTCTGCTAACAGAAAGGTTAACTTGTATTTCTGAATTATTGATAGCTGCTTGTTACTAATTTTTTTCCTCAGAAAGGAGGAAATTATTAATGAAGAGATCATTGCCAATGTGTCTGACATCTATTAATGGTTTCATCTTGCAACCAGATTAAAAGAGACAGCTGGTCTATGAATTTATGCGTGGAGGCAGTTCCAAATGCACTGATAGCTCCGCAGGAGGGTGGGCCCTGCAGGCAGCGGGGTCTGGGCATCCACGTGGGCATCTCTTGGTTGGCATAGCTCTGTGAAAGGGCTGTCAAAGGCTTTACTGCAGAAGGAACAGGCAGGGAATGGCCTCTCCCCTGACATCTTTCCAAACTCCTCTGTGATCAACGTGATCCCATTGGCACCCTCGTTGTGCCACTCTTCAGGGGTGTGTTAGAACAGGGGCTCTCAACCTGAGCTTGCATTAGGATTACCTGGAAGGTTGGCTAATGCACAGATTCCCGGTCCCTACCTCCAGCATTTCTGATTCTGTGGGTCTGGGTTGGGCCCTGAATACTTGGCAGCCCAACTTGTTTCCAGGAAAAGCATACAAACTGTATTTTGAGAACCAGTCAATGTGAGATTTTTCTCTAGGGAACAGTCAGCAAACTTTTTTTTGTAGAGGGCAGGACAGAAAGGACAGGGCTGTCACATAATCTAGAGGGCAGCCAAAGGCAACATGTCAATGAATAAAAGTACCTGTGTGCCAATAAAACTTTATTTATAAAAACAAGTAGTGGGCCAGAATTGAGTCATGGGCTGTGGTTTGCTCACTGCAGCTCTATAGCAGTGTTCACAGAAGTTTCTGCAAAAAAGCAGCCACAAGTAATATACAAAGGGCTATCTATGGCTGTGTCACAATAATAATTTATAATATGACAATGGGTCAGATCTGGCAGAAGTGCAACAATCTGTGCTATGATAGAGTAGTGTTAGTAAAATTTTCTGGGATGATGGAAGTGCTCTAGAGCCGTGGCATATGCCAGCCACTAGCTATGGTGAAATGTGGTTAGAGAATAAGACTGAAATTCTGAATTTTAAACCTAAGTGGCTAGTGGCTACCTGCATCACAAAAAACAGGGAGAAGGCTCTGGTAGATCAGCCACCCCATGGCGTGTGAAGGTTCCCTAGCCACCTCTTTATGAGAAAGGGATAAAACAGGAGCCACAGCACGGGCTTTTCCCTATGAGTAAACGAGATGCCTTGTCACTGTGGGCCGGCCACAGTGGGACAGAAGGAGTGGAGAGAGGGAGCCATTTTCCTGTGTTTTACCAGTCTTTTCTTTGTTCTTTCCCACCGGCCTCGAAGCTCCAGGAGAGCAAATGTCACACCCGTTGCTCAAGCTGTAGCCCTTCAGCAGGTGCAGCACATCGTTGATGGAAATGCTCAGGTTTTTGGCTGAAGCTGCCCTCAGATGAGGAGATCTTCAGTGACAATGTCTGAATACTCTTGTCTTGATCTTTACCAGGGCTGAAAAGGAAGCCTCTGTGCAGAGAGGGAAAGTGAGTCCAGAAAAAGTCTTGCCAGGCATCCCACGGGGTGAAGGGCATAAGGGCCCAGAGGACAAGAGGACTGCTGGTTGAACAGCACTGGAGGAGGCTTGAGGGTGGATTGCTCCCAACCGTCACAAAATTTCACCAGGCTCTGCCCTTCCTTTAGCACTGAAGCTGAGCCTGCCCTGAGCTAAGGGCCCAAGATGAAGCCACATTGTAGCTGGGCAGGCTGAAGGAGCCCAAGGGGTATCTCTGCCCAGATACCCCTACTCTCCAGGCTGCCCACACAGGAGGTAGGAATTGACCCTGGAGCTCTCTCAGTCCCCTCCCTTGAGAAACTTGTTCCGGGTGGATGCTTAAAGCATCCCTGGTCTTGTGCTAGCTTTCTTCCTCCATCCTCTATCTTTGTTCAAAAGCCCTGTGTGAAGTGTCCAGGTGCCCTTTAGGAATATCTTTTAGTTAATATACCAGTGGAGTATACACAGCAGGCCTTGATAACATGCTTTGAAAGGGAAGGGTCTACTGACCCAATTTCAAAGAGAACCTTAAGGCCCTGTGTGTGTTTACCAGGGAAGTGATGAAGGGTGGGCAATTGGCAGATGCCAGCACTCACCAGCAGTAGGTGGAGTACAGGGTCCTGAGGGCTAAAGGGCTGGACAGCTCAGAAAGGAAGAAGACCCTGGTTCATGATCCTGCTCCTAGGCAGGCAAGACCTGGTGGTGTGATTGGGCTGGGCTGTGTTCTGCCAGGTCTGTCACTAAGAAATAGGATCATTTTTCTTGGGTAAATGAACCCCATTCAGACTTGGGTACCTTGCCTACAGTGACTCTCTGCAGTGGGGGGCACAGGAGGGCTCCACAGAGCATGTGCATGGAAGATGCACGGGAACTGCTACTATACTTTTCAAAAAGTCCAGAGGGAATGAATTGGCAGGAGCCCAAGAGAGCTGGGAAAAGTTACAACTGCCACACGGTGGCTTAGAAATCTTTTCTATTCCTCCTGGGTCAGCCCCCATGATCATCAGCGACAGATGGGTCACAGCTGTGGGCTGGGGTCAGGTCTCTTCTCAGAGGCTCCCTAATAACTCTCCTGCCTAAGGCAAAGCCTGGATAGTGGGTGGATGGAGCAAACAGCTGCGGTTTAGCTCTGGGCAGAAGGGATCTTTCATTCCTATTGTCCCCAAGGGTCAGTAAGCCTGTGCCCCCAGATGGATAGTGGGTGGATGGAGCAAACAGCTGCGGTTTAGCTCTGGGCAGAAGGAATCTTTCATTCCTATTGTCCCCAAGGGTCAGTAAGCCTGTGCCCCCAGTGAACAGCAAGGGCTATGGCACCCTGTCAAGCGAACCATCAGTATTTGCAAAATTATTAAGAAACTCTGAGTTGGCTTGTAAAAGGTCTAACTCCCAGGCTTCCCTGACTAGACCACAAACCCTTTTCCTGGGCAGAGGGTCAGGAAGCAGGATTTGGGGATGGGGAGCGGTCTCTCACCCCTGGGAGAATGCTTTGATTAGGCAGGTGTGAGAGGCAATGGTCAGTGGACAAGCTTCTCTTTTGGAAAGTAGTGGCTGTGGTGGTGGTGGGAGTTCAGAGTCACATGGAAGGCATTTACCTGGAATTACAGTGTGGGCTGTGAGACATAAATAGGCTTGTGTTTAGCAAAATTATTCTATTCTACCAGTAGGACCTGGGGTACCAGTGAAATCCTGTGTACATTCTTTGTCAAAACAACTCTGATCCAGAGCCCCTAGTACCCCATTTTTTGGAGTCCTTGGCCATGTTTGACTTTCACTTAACTCCTTACTGGCTGTCCAGTTTAATCTTTTGGAATCCCAGCAAGCCAAGTGGAGGGGTGCTTTGCTGAAACCGAAAGGGCTTTGGTCAGGTAGCAAAGTACTTACAAAGTGGGAATCTCTTGAGCATCTCCAGGTGTCCTTACTACTTGCCTTTACATCCCAGACTCACATCTCTTCCCCATCTCTCCCAGGGTGGCACAGTCTCCTCCTTGGGATCCCTGCGCCCAGGCCAGCGGGTTGTGAGTGGCAGCACCCTCTGATCTGTGGTGCCAGGCTTTCAGCCTCAACCAGGTCTTTGTTCAGTCGGGGTGTGCCAGAGACCCTTCAGCATCTCCCCAGCACTGTACACACGGCCGGCAGCATCCTGAGTTGAGCCTGCTCCCCCATTCACCTGTTTCCTCACCCCTACTTCAAAGGCTGCTCCCTGCTTCCCTCCTCCCCCATCACCTCCATACCTGCGCCCCCGCAGGGTAGACTGTAGACGATGCTCTGCTGCGTGGCGTGGCTCGTGGCGAAGAGGCGTGGACCCCGCGGATCCTGTGGGTGCCAGAGCGATGTGTGTACGCGCGTGACTGCGAGCTGCCGGGAGCCGGCCAGCCGCCGAGAGGGTGCGTGGGGAGCCCGCGTGTGGCAGCCGCGGGCGTGTGCCTGGCGCGGGCGTGCGCGCGAGGGTGTGTGTGCGCGGCCGAGGCGGAGCGGGCGGGCGGGCGG